CTTATGGCGATGTTTAATAGAACTCGCCTTTTTCGCAGCTTGTGAAATTATTGCCGCGAAAGGTTTTTGTTGGAAATACGGCGACCCGGTAACGAGACTACGCTGCGAATAATTAAACGTAAATCATCTCTTCGAAGGCGCAGAGTTGGTGCGTCACGTGCGACAATAGACGCTTACATTGAAATAAGTTTTAATCTCCATCTCATGACGTAACGTTTCACCGCACGCAACGCGAATATCTCGTTACAGAACGCGCGTCGTGTTGCGGTTAAGTATATTGCGTTTAATTTTTCACTTTTACGCGCGGAAAAATACGCGCGTATTCGCGAGGCTTTTACAAAGTTATCTCAATGTGTTTCCTTCACTTCGGATATTGGCAGACACGAATTGCGCATTCGTCTCGTAAAGCCTCTACGTGCGTGCGTGCAGCTCGAAGCGCGGAAAGCGTGGACGAACCTTTAACGTGGACGTTCTTTACATCGCGATCGATAAAATTTACGGGAAAGTAAAATGCGCTTTTCCCGAGGTACGACAAATTTCTCGACACGTCGCCATTCATCGAACGGCGGCGCGGCTTTTAACGTGTACGTCTCGCCGGTAGAGAGCGGCCGATAAATGGTCGTGCTAGCGCTGCTGCCGGCTCCGCGTGCACTTGCATCGAACGCGCATAATAATCAGTCAACGACCGCACGCGCGCTGCTACTTTTGCGTCAGGGTCGACTCGGCAACGTGCCGTAACGTTGAGCTAGGTGAGTAATATCGCCTCTCTGTGCCAGAGCTATTTACCGGCTCTATTCTTACACACATCAGCATACCCGACGAGAATAGACGTGGTCCGCTAGTATGCGTGTGACTAGGCGCGCTTATACGATACAGCGATGCATCATAATAGCGTCATTTTATTTTTAATATCAAGTATTTTTCACTTATTCCTTGTTATAATATTAATCCTCAATGGTGGGTAGAAAATTACTGAATGAAAAGTAAGTAGCGGTTTGTTGTTACAAGTAGCGCCTTTATTTTAATCGCAAATAACATGAGATTTTCTTTTAGAGTTTATTACTATATGTAGATTTAACAAATGACAAATAATGGAAAATTCTTTTTTTTTTTAATTTATTTTGAATAAACTTTTCAATTTGAAATATATTTTCGGTTTTTACGAGTGAGATATTTAAATTGTCGATTAATCGAAAAATATCCGCATTATTTCGTAATTAGCTGATTTATTTAACGATAATGACTGCAATTATCTCATCACATGTTCGAATCAAACCGGATAGATCGACCGATATATTCGCGTTGATTGGTGATTTAAACTTCGCTTCGGCTGTAACCCTGATCTACCGCTATGAAAAACCAACCGGTCGTCAGCATCTCGTGGTGTGCGTCGTAATTGCCGAGTAAAATGTTATTTTTCATTAAAAGACTGCCTAGTTCTGTTGCCAAGCGCCGCGCGGGCATGCGAGCAACGTTTTTGTGGTAGGTTAGTAATTCCGCCGTCTCACGCCGCGCGTTACGTATTCGCTTCACGCTACGAAGCCCACGCGTGCTTCGCAGTCAGCCGCCGTACCGCTGGACCAATGACTGGGGGCCGCGAAGCTTTTTCACGTCGTCGTATATTATCGGCACTGCCACAATGTGCACCGGCGAGCGACGCTGATGAAACGTGATCGCGCCTGAAGCCGTACTCTGGCGCGAGTTACAATGTTCAGCGCATTGCGAGATTTAGGCGCGGTTGGCACTCGAGTTAACAATTCATCTTGTTCACGATGACGTTGCCAACTGGTGGATTCTGATCAAGCGTTGAACGTAATCCAGCACGTAGTCTAATATTATGATATTCTCTTAGAAATAAATTTACTGATTAGTATTTATGTATATTTAATTTTATTAATGCTCTGCTCCAATTTTATTTCCACTCTGTTCCAATTTTTCGTGGAACACATTGCTGTTCTTGAATATCGCGGAGACGGTTTATAGATTTGCAATGAACACTGTGCAGTGTACTTCTTTTTTATGGATTTTCGGAAGTGACATCGCCAAGAATTTATTATTCTTCATTATTCTAACAGAACGACGATTGAACTATAATTGACTCTTTTCTGCTTCTTCATTAACTATCAGAATTAGGGCGACTGTATATATTTTTTCTTTGCAAGAAGAATGCTGTTGACAAATAAAGCAGAATATTTTTACTCCTAATGTCGTGTTTTGCTTCGTGAATGTGTTGCATTGTGAAGCAGCCAAGAGACTGTAAGTGAGAAAATTCAATTTATCTTTGAATAGCAAATCGCACTTTAACCCCTGATACATCCGAATTGGATAATAAGTTTCTGTCGCGAAGTAATTGATTCGTCCTAGGAGTCGTGACATCTCGCCTCTACGTAAGACAAATCGATCTCGCGGCGTGTGACGATCGACCAATCGCGGTGGGTCTTTCCGCTCAGCAGCGTGCCTTGTGACGTATACGACGAAACGACGGGAGGTGACAGTCAGGTTTCTGTTGACCTAGGTCAGTAATACAGTCTGTCGGCGCCGTTGATTCTATTCTTACGTCCCATGTTACTCAACACACCGTCATTGTTATGTGCAACATGAATCCAGCTTTGCGGCGAACAGATATAATTGCATACATGTAAAAGGTTTTTTTTTTTCTTTTTTTTCGAATATTTTTGTAAAAACATTTCCGCGATATTGCATATGCATTTATTCAATATGCGGATAGCTAGTAATCAATAGCGACGTATTAACCTTCAAGTATACGAACGTGGAAAAAACCGTGTCACGTTGATAAGTGTACATGTGACGCGTAGTTTATTCTTATATGTTCCGCAGGCGATTCAAGTGTAATTTACGTATACGTATAAATCGCGTGGGTACATGCGTCCGAGATTTTTTCTGCTCGATACATATAAAATAGCGGAGAACCTGCAGACTTCAACTGTCGTAAATAATAATTTACGACGTGATTTAAATCGCATAAAATTAGCTTATTTATAGAAGCCACTTTTTCTCCAGAAAACAAAACAATCCTTTTATTTTACACGAAAAATGTAGTCGGAAAGTGCGATGTTCCGTGTATTATTTTTAAATAGTTTTAGTTACAAATACTGGATGCGCGATAAAAGCACCGTGAGAATACTCTCATAAATAATAACCAGTACATTGCGATCTTCGCGGGTTAAAGGTCGCTTCGCGACGTAACTGTGAGCCCGCGCGAAGATGTTATCGGTGGGATAATTGAAAGAATCATATATTTACGAACATTTGCGATACATCGATAAGCGAACTGCGCTCGGCCTTATGCTAGCAATAGTTTTTCTTATTAGTTACGTTCCCAACGAGGCGTTAAGGCTGCAGGTATTAGACGGCTCTTAATGAGATTCCGGCATTAAGTGCGCACAATGAGCACGTTTTCCAGCGTGTGGCGAGCGCGCGGGCACACAAGCGCGCACATCTCGCCGGTGAATAGCGAGCTTGCCGCGCGGCGAACGGTGTCGGTAGTGCAGTAAACCCGCGCCGCCGGATAAATATACGGTATTATATAAGTTGTTTGCAAGCCAAGGAACGAAGAGAGCCGGTCTACGAATGCGGTCGGCTTATACATACATTGCGCAATAATCGGGCGAGCTCTCTGCTCGACCGGGCGCGGCGGGCGGCATTTAACCGCGATGGCTTTCATTATCCCCTGTCGTCGTGTTGTGTTGGAAACAATAAAGCGAAATAGCGTCGGGCAGCCGTGAAAAAAAAAATAATATTCCCTATTATGAATCGAAGATTCCTCACCGGCCTCGCGATTGCGTACTTTCTCTCCTGCAATTATACCGGTGTTAAACTCGATAAAAGTAAGAAGATCGCCGGGCTCGTGAAAAATAAAGGAGATAAGCCGAGTTTTGGATTGCTTTCGGTTATTCTCGTGCGAATAAACGCGTTTCATCGCGAAGTTAAATAAAACCGTCCGGCTCGTTCGTAGAATCTAATCCGTCTGACTGATCGACGTCATCGGCAGGCAATGCGAATCGTACATGCCGCATTCTTATGGTTAATGGGGATAGTTGGTGGTTGCAAACCTTCACCGCGGCGAGAATACCCGTCGTTTAATAGCCCTCTGAATCGTTCTACAATGGTGATTAATTTTCAATCGATGCCGCAGCGCTTTTTTTCTCACCCCGCCGGGAAACTGTCAGCGCGCAACGCGCGTTTGACGGCCGCCAAAT